AAATTTTTTTTCATCCAACAGAAGCCATAACTTTATTAATGAATGATAGAAACAGTACAAATTTCAAACCAAACTGCAGTTACTCTTTTGAAACACCAAAAAAAATCCTCATTTTCCCAGATGGCTACATTGTTAATTCCATAATAGCATTTACAATCTCATTACTGTTGTTCTTCAGGGCTCTGACCACCTTTGCTCTCGACACATTTGCTTGTGACATGACTAACTCTATATCCTTAACTTCAACACCTGTTTAATCAACCTCTTCCTCTTCACTCTCCTCTTGAACAGTTGGAGTTTGTGTGTTTTCTTGAATGTTTGAAACAGCTTCACCCTGAACTTTGAATTTCTCAGCAGCTGCTAGCTGTGTAAGTCCTCAATCTTGGCTTCACCAAAAACTATGTAGGTATCTGAAGCCGGGCTTTTATAAACATCTGGTTTTGTGATGACAAAGAGGATATTCTTAGATTTCCGGATAGTGACTCTAGTAACCCTTGTGACTTGTCGAAGTCCCAGGTTGGACATTGCCTTCCTAGCCTTCTTTTCACTCCGACTTTGTTTTGCTTTACTGACTGGTTCTTCATCGATTTCAGCGGCTGCTGCCAGCTGTGCTTGTTCTGAGGTTGCCTGTGTGGAATCCTGTTCCTCAAGCTCTGGTACTGATTCATCACTGTCGGATTCTGTTCCTGACCCTGTCTCAGCCTGGGGCTGTGGCAACTCCTGCTCTGTAGCAGGGACGGTTTCTGTGGCTTCACCAGGCATTTTGTACAGGGAACGCAGAACCAAGATGGCGGCAGAAAGAGAGCAAGCGACAGCGTCAGCTCTGTTAAATTTTAATGAAAATGTTGTTGTTGTTGTTATGTGCTGTCGAGTCATTTGCGACTCATAGCGACCCTATGTACAACAGCCCTAAACCGTGCTCTATCCTGTGCCAATCTCATTGCCTCTGACACACCCATCCCGATTACCCCAGTCACTGAATCAATCCACCTCATAGGGGGTCTTCCCCTCCTGCGCTGTCCCTCCACTCTGCCCAGCATGATGTCCCTCTCCAAAGACCTCTCTCTCCTTACAACTTGTCCAAAGTATGTCAGACGAAGCCCCAGAATCCTTGCCTCCAAGGAGCCACCCGGTTTAACCCTCTCTAGGATGAATCTGTTTTCTTGGCAGTCCATGGTACATTCAACACTCTTCTCCAGCACCACAGCTCAAAGGCGTCAACACATGATTAAAAAATAGTCATCTACATACTTAAAGCTGTGTCCTTAATCAGGGAGCGACTATTATTTACTCATTATTCCAACCATATAGTGTCAAGAACCTGCACTGCAAACTCAAAGGCACAGAGTTTGAGGCCATGAGCTGCTCTGTGGGAAAAGAATGGGCAATCTCCTCCCCTGCGATTTACTGCCTCTGAAAATTTGCTGGAAGGTCAGCTATGGGTCGGTTCTGACTCTATGGTATTCAACAACAATGACATAATTAATGATTATCATTTAGACCCAAAGACTCTACAGTCTAATAAAGGGAGAGATTAGGCTTACTTTTTTAAAAAAAAATTATTATTAAATATGGAAGAAAGTATTATAAAAGAAAGAGGGGTGAAATGCTGTAATATTTTAAAGGAGAGGATTTTGGACTGCTTTTTGGACAAAGTTGAGCTGGCCTTTAAACATATAGGATCTGGGCCTAAAGGACCTCGTAGGAAGAAGAAATAGTATGCAGTCTTTTTGTTTAAGAAATAATGAATGGTTCTGTTTATCTGTAGCATAGAGTCCTCGGAGTAGTGGGAAATGGGTTGAAAAGGTAAAATAAAACCAGATTATGGAGAATCTTGAATATCTGGCAGAGGAGTTTGGATTTTAAAATGTAAGCCAAAGAAAGAATCTGAGCTGAGAAGTAGAGTAAAAAATAATTTTGAGAAACAAGTAAATTAAATTTGAGAAGGTCATTATGTTTCATTTTTCACACTTATGAAATCCTATACTTTTTAAAGGGAATTCTGGTGGCCTAGTGCAAGAAGCTGTACTGCAATTCCAAAGGTACTTGGTTCGAGGCCACCAGCTGCTCCGTGGATGGCCAGTTTCCTCCCATGGATTTAACTGCCTCTGAAAACCTGCTAGAGGGTCAGCTATGACTCTACAGTACTTTTTAAGGAGCACTGGTGGCACAGTGGTTTAGCACTTGGCAGTTAGGATCCCTCCATCTGCTCTATAGGAGAAAGATATAGTAATCTGCACCCATAAAGATTACAGCCTTGGAAACTCTAATAGTGTGTTGTCAGCAGAACTGGGAAGAGAGTCCAATCTTCACTCCTTGCAGGAAACAGGGCTTTATCCCTAAGGATATGCTTATGTTTAGCATAAGGGTATGTGTATCTTTAATGTTTCCACATTGTTCAATATCTTCTTGTCAAGAAGTTGTACCTCCTCTACGAAGGATATAAGCTGATGAAACTTTAGTCTCAACAATGTGATGTCAAATCTTAGTACTCTTTGCACTTATGAATGCATTTCCTTAAATGCAGCTCTTTTGAGAACTCCCTTTTGTTACACTGCCTTCTACCAAATGAGAAAATGTGGAAAGAAACTATAAAGCATTGTAAACATCTAAGAGCTTACAATCTCTAATATAGTTCACACCACACAATGATCAGTTAGTTATCATTCTCAACCTTAATTACAGCAGTATTTCCTGTAGTTTTTCAACAGAATTTGCCAGTAAGATCACCTGTGTCATAAATATCCTTTTTAAGCACCCATCTACCCCTTCAAGAGCCTCTATGGATGATGATAGCTGCCTTGTTTTGCCACCTGAGGTCTAATACTGGGTCTATTACAATTTCCTTTTTCCTTGACGCTTTCTGGGAACATTGGTAGGTGTCTGGCCAATTTTTTTATCAATATTACTAAATTTTTCTGCTAAATGGGCTCCTACTTTTTTTTTCCAAAACAGACATATTTGCTGTAGACATATCCCATCTTGTGTATGTACCTTTCGGGAAGATGTCAGTATTTTTTCACCAAGGCTGGGAGGCTCCTGAGTCTGTGCTATTTATGCAGCATTTTGGTGGTTGTGGTATAGACGAACATCTAGCTTCTGCAAGGCATGTTACCACCAAAAATGTCTGCAACCATTCAGAAGAACTCCAGACTCATGAAGCTGGTCATCACTTAAGAAGAGAGCCTTTTGGTCCCAAAGGTTTGGGGCATTTTTCCTCGTTGCTGTGAACCCACCCTCCCATCTCAACTACTTCAAGAAGGTTTCTGAGCCATGGTTCATTGCAACTATCGTTTATTAAAAAATATATGTCTCCTTGGAAGGAACACTGATAAATCAACTAGTGTCATGCTTACTTTTTAATCTTTTTCTTCCCTGGGAAAAGAGGACTGAACATCATTCAGAATATATCACTCATTTAACATGCTAGAAATCAGCACTCCTTGATCACCTATCCTCACCTTTATCAGTGATGACTTTTTTCCTCTTTGCTTTCAACTGAGTGTACTGCCCAGGTAAAGTGCCTGCCAACTCTGTATACTTTTCTGGGCCCTACAATTTAGAGTTACTTCAGTACGTTGGTAAGATAATTGTTAACATATGTATTAAACGTGGCTGACAGTGTTTAAGCATCTTCCACAAGTTGTTTGCACTGATCATAGCATAGAGGGCCAGTAAACAACTGCCGCAACTCTAGAGCCAAGAGTTTCTATTTACTTCTCGCCTGTGTCATCCTTCCAGCATGGATGGGGAAGGAGGCAAACTGGCTTTAAAGGAGCATAGTTGGGTGAAGTAGAGCCTAAACCACACCAGCTGCAGCTAGAGGAAAATCTCCCCTGATCACAGCTCACAGCCGTCAGACTCTAGAAAAAGCAACAAGGTTTTATATCTCACCAGTAAGTGAATCTTAGCCCTACAGCTCAAATTTACAGCACTAAAATCTTTGTTCTTGAAGAAACAGTAAACAACCAGATGTTGGTAAGGAGGCCAACGTAGGGCATATTAAACAGTTGCAAAAAAAAGGTGGAGGGGGAGTGCCTAAAACAAACTACTAATTGGGGGCTGACCAAACTTATTGCTATTCCATTAGCTCAGCATAAAACTGGAAAGAAAATTACTCCCTCTTCCTGTCAGTGGACCCTAAGAAGGAACCTCAGCTGAGACCTTCATGTTCTTGGCAGGTAATGCTCCTCCTCTCACTCCTTCTCCTGATCAGAAGGCCAAGGCTCAATCACCTACTGTATCACAGAGCTGGCACTTTCAGAACTTTATCAACTTTTAGAACATTGTCAAATTGGATTATGCACATTCACTTAAATAGTAAAAGTAAAATTTAGAATAATGAAAAGACTGACACAGTAGCACAACATGGTTTTGGTTTAACAGCAGCATAAAATTGAAAAGGAAATCTCTCATGCAGACACATCAGGTGGCATAAAATAACTGGCGATTTTATATGAAGCATCATTAGCCATTCTCTCTGTCCATATGAAGGACTGACTGCAGCTCAAGGGCAGCAGCTACTTTAGGGTCAGGTCTCCAGCCCTCTTTCTCTCTAGGCAAAAGCCCTTTCTCTCAAGTCCCTTTTCTGACTCCTTTGTACAGAAAATCTTAGCTTTTAAGAGAATGACCAAATGCAAGTGCTCTTAGGACAGAATTTAATACTATTTTCAATCCCTTCCCAACTAGTTGGGATATAAGATGCCTTCTGACTGGAATATGAAAATTAAAACATTTCTCTAATAACATAGTATCATTGATGAAGTCTCCATAAATTTTCTAGTTCAGATGTGTGTGAATATATATTATAGTTGCAGGATTATGTATGTAATAATATGTGCTTTTGTTATCTGTAATTCTTGAGTAGCTTCCAGTGTCTTCCTTTGCCTT